CAACGCTTTATGAGCAAAATAAGATGCCAGTCAATGTAAGAATCATGTTATTTTAGATAATGATGGGGGGGAGGGGAAGGGAACCAACCTGGGGGTCATATGGGCTGTGGAAGGGCATGTGCAGGCAGCCTTTCCAGTGACTACCAGTTGCAGCTGTTCTGAGGTCTAACTTGCATCATAAACTCTGCCACACTGGTGCCTTCCTCCCACTCAGCAATGCCATGTTCCCAATTAACCCCCAAACTGCTGAGCTCTATCTAAGCCACAATGCAAGTTTTAGAAGCTATTGGCCTAAGACTCCCTTCTGGATAGAAATAGGCCTGACTCAAAATCATGGATCCATGCAGCCACATCTGGTGGCTATGTAAAGATTACAGAAGACGACTCTTCCTCCTGGCACACCACTGAATAGAGCAACTGCCGCCAAACCATTGAGAGTAATAACTACTATGCACTGAGCTCCTGGACCTGGCATGAGTCAGAACTAAGCCAAGCTGCCTGCCTGCCTGGCTCCTAGTACACTTTAAATGCAGAGCCGCAGCGGGGATAGGTCCAGGACCCAGTGCAAACTGGGACTGAGCTGGGCTGCAGGCCAGCCTGCTAAAAAATTTACTAGCAAGGGGGAGGTACCAGTGTTTCTCAAATTGGGGATTCTGAGCCAAAATACAGCTGCAAGGGGGTCCCAAGGATATTTTAGGAGGGTCACAATATTGCCACCCTTACTTCTACACTGCATGCAGAGCTGGGAAACTAGAGGGTAGTGGGGGGTGATGCTCTAGAGGCAGGCCAGTAGAAATGCAGAAGTAAGGGTGGCAATACCATACCCATGTCGCTCTTATTTCTGCTGCTTTTAGTGCTGGGCACTCACCGTGGCAGCTGATGACTAAGGTCCCAGTCAGCAGCCACTGCTCTCCTGTTGCCCAGCTCTGCAGGCAGGGCCATCAGCAGCACAGGAGTAAGGGTAGCAATGCCACAACCCCGTCCCTCCTATAACCTTGTGACCCCCCCCCCCACACCCACACACCCACACAAGTCCTTTTTGGGTCAGGACCCCTACAATTACAACACTGTGAAATTTCTTTTTTACATGTTTGAAATCGTGAAATATTACCATTTTTTAAATTATGAAATTGACCAAAATGGACAATGAATTGGCTAGGGCCTTGCATCTAAACAGTGGCTGGTAAATAGAGTTTGTCTCAGCATTCAGTGATTACTTTACTAGCAGGAAGATGAGAGTTACCAGCACGCAGTACTGGAAAGCTATAGGACTTCTAGTACCAGCAGCTACACAAATCATTTTCAGCGTTGAGTCTCAGAGCACACAGGCAAACATTGCACTTGGCAACATTTTGGCTGAGTGCCTGGCTCCCCAGCTATCTTTATTCTCATGTGTTTTCTAAAACCCACTGCCTGGTCCAATGCCCATTCAGATCAATGGAAAGACTTCTTTTAATGTCTGTGGACTTTGGATCAGGCCCCATAAAAATAAAAGCATGGCACTGGAAAAGGGCAACAAAAATGATTAGGGGTTTGGAACGGGGCCCATATGAAGAGAGACCAAAAAGACTTGGACTTTTCAGCTTAGAAAAGAGGAGACTAAGGGGGGATATGATAGAGGTCTATACAATTATGACTGGTGTGGAAAAAGTGAATAAGGAAAAGTTATTTACTTATTCCCACAATATAAGAACTAGGGGGTCACTAAATGAAATTAAGAGACAGCAGTTTTAAAACAAGCAAAAGGAAGTTTTTCTTCACTCAGCGCACAGTCAACTTAGAACTCCTTGCCAGAGGATGTGGTGAAGGCTAGGGTTTTAACAGGGTTCACAAAAGAGCTAGATAGATTCATGGAGGTTAGGTCCATCAATGGCTATTAGCCAGGATGGGTAGTAATGGTGTCCCTAGCCTCTGTTTGTCTGTAAATGGATGATAGGAAAGGTATCACATGAGGATTACCTGTTGTGGTCCCTTCCTCTGGCATATCTGGTATTGGGCACTGTCGGCAGACTGGGCTAGATGGACCTTTGGTCTGACCCAGTACGGCTGTTTTTATGTGCTTAATATTTCAGCAACATCCACTAGAGTATTGTTCTTTGATCTCTTGCCCATTTTCACTCTTTTTGAGCCTTCTTTCACCTGGCAAGTATGAAATCCCCTTGCCCTCGTAATCATATATATGTGCAGTAATGGTTCGCTGACAGTGTCTTGTTAGTTCTTCAGACTACAGGCCTGCATTTAAGAATGTGGGACCACAGGGCAAATGAATGGAGGGAGTGGGGGTTGCAAAGGTACAGCCTGGCATGATTTCTCTGGGGATGAGGAATAGAAGCAGCGCAGGAGCTGGACATCAGAAGCAGCAGGTTAGGAACTGGAAGGCGAGCTTGAGAGGAGAGCATGTTGCAGGGGCAGAGGCAGCAGACCAGGGCTGGACTGGAGGATGCAGGCCAACCAAATAATGACTTTTGGGCACCTCACAAAATGTGGCAGCCCCAGGACTAACAGAAAGCACATGTAGGAAGAGACTCTAGCCTGTTTTGTGGGTATTCGGATATTAGATTTACTATACGTAACTTAAAAAACAAACATTGATTTGTTTTTGTGCTTTTTTCTTTCACTCTTCCCCCCCACCTCCTTTCCCTGCAGTATCTTAGTTGTTCCTTTCTCTTATTTCACTGTTTCTCCTTCCCTGAAATGTTCTGCCGTGTTAACAGCCCCTTTCTTTATTTCTTTCCTCCTCAACAACCTTTTTCTCTGTGTTCTGCCCACTCCCTTCTGACTCAGGTTCTTCCAGTTTCTCTCCTCTACTGTGTCCTCACTGCCAGAACCCCGCAGCCACACCCATATAGCAAAAGCCACACACACCACAGTTCACGGCCTTTCTCTAATTTGTAAGGAGGTGCCCTGTAATTTCAGAGCCGTTTAAATGCCTTTGGATTTCCTCTTTATGCTCAATACATGCGGAGTTATCCTACTCTAATCTCATTCAATCCGTCACAAACATGCCTGTCTTGTACCACATCAGAATAGGCAAATCAGTTGAGACAGAAGCAAGAATTTACCTTGAGGCAGCTAATTGTGTGGCATCTTTGGCAGCAATGCAGTTAGGACATGATTGTTCTCCTCTCAGCAGGCCACAGCCTTTTTATTTTGCTCTGTGCACAGAACTCCCTTAGCTATGTCTATGGAACTGGGTTGGCCAATTCTCCTTCCTTTGAGGTCTGTGCAGTAGGACAAACCAAGAGCATAGTTTCTTATGTGCTACTCATGCTGTGTCCCCTCCAGGCACCTGAACCCTTGCTGAGGACTATGGGGTAGCTGCCCAGATGCCCCAGTACAAATACTGATGGTAGGATTGTGATACGTGTGGATGTGTAAACATCAGGGCTGGATTAAGACCTTTAGAGGCCCTAAGCACTGAAAAGATTATAGTGCCCCCCATATGTAATTCAAAATAAAAACAATACTATACCATAATTTTTATTTTTATTTTTTTTTTTTTGTGCCCCTGCTTTGCTGGTGCCCTAAGCACGTGATTAGTCTGCCTGTTGGGTAATCCAGCCCTGGTAAACATAGCTGGCACATGGTTGTGTTGTGAAAAAAGTTGGTATGTATACACAACACAAGTCAGCCATGGGGAAGATCCAAAGATCTTGCTATAAATCAGATCTCTAGTGACTTCAGTAGAGAGCTACTGCAATTTATACCAGCTGAGGATCTGCCTCCATGTTTTTAACCAGGTTAGATGAAGGTGACATAACCTACTCATGAAAACAGTTGGGTTGTTATGTAAATAGGCCCTTAGACTCACTGTCCTTTGTGGATGTGATGTTTTTTCCTTACCCATCTTCAGTGCTGTACTCCTTGGCCCTTTAAGAGAAACGTCAAATAACCCTCTCCTGTTCACTGCCCTTAAAAGCTTGGGTAGCCATTTAATAGCTGTTGTCTTGTATACTGCTCAAAGTGAACAACTGTGAAATTCTTTCATTGGTCAGGCTAGGGTAGGAAATGTTACGCAAAAACCCAGGGTCGCCAAGTATCAGTAAAAATGCCCTAGTGTAGACAAGGTCACACAGTGCTGTACTGTGAACTTTGCATGTGGCGAAAGCTTCAGGGGGTAGCCAAGTTAGTCTGAACAGAAAAAAACAACAAATGGTCTGGTAGCACTTTATAGACTAACAAAACATGTAGATGGTGTCATGAGCTTTCGTGGGCACAGCCCACTTCTTCACATGACCAGAGTTTTGAGTTTGCAGACCCAAAATAAAAAGGAACAGGGGGGGGAGAAGGGGTTGGGAGACAGGGAGCAGAGAGGGTATAGAAAATTCAGGAAAGCAGAGGGAATCAGTAACTATCTGAAAAATGAAGCAGATAAGAATCAAAGTTAATTGATAGTACCTTTCCTGGCATAGGAAGCTATACAAAGAGCTGTTTGCACGTTCATTGACTGTTGGGCAGATAGTGTCCTAACCATCCTTCATCACGATTGGATTACACAGCTCTTTGTATAGCTTCCTATGCCAGGAAAGGTACTATCAATTAACTTTGATTTTTATCTGCTTTGTTTTGACTACCCAGTCTTCAGATACTTACTGATTCCCTCTACCTCCCTGAATTTTCCGCAAAAAAGTGCTTTTGTGGAAAAGCATCCATGCCAATCTAGATGTTCTTTTCCGCAAATGTTTTTAACGGAAAACTTTTCCGTTAAAAGCATTTGCGGAAAGTCATGCCAGTCTAGACGTAGCCAGTGAGAACTACATGCAAGGGTGACTGGATGTGCATTAAAGGAGTATGTGCATGGATGTGGTACCTGACTAGGTGTGCATGCATGGATGTTGGTACATGAATAGTGTGCATGCATAGATCTGTATGCGTGGATGTTGGTATCATTAATGGTTAGCCATCTAATGGCAGAGTGGGGAGATTAAGACTATATTTGACGTCTCTAAAATACTAGCTCATTTCTCTCTGCTAAATGCTTTCTTTTGTTTCTCCTGCAGGGGGATTTTTAATCCCATATATCATCATGTTAATTGTGGAAGGGATGCCTTTGCTCTTCCTGGAGTTGGCAGTGGGACAGCATATGCGCCAAGGAAGCATAGGCGCGTGGAAAATCATAAGTCCCTACCTCAGTGGGGTTGGTACGTTCCCATTTCATGGATAGGGGTTATTTTTAATTCCTAGCTGAATTTTTGGGGAGTCCTATGAGTTGTTGCATCAAATGTAATTTAGAGCAGGAAATGGACAGGAATTGGGGCATTTATGGAATCTATAAAGGGCAATACACATCGACAATGAAAATGACATCTGAGTTTGGATCAAAGTCATGGATCCCAGGGTAATTAGTAATTAAGTTTCATAATATGCCCATAAGGCAGGCAAACATTATCCAGGGATTTTAACAGGGAACTAAAGCAGAGAGCAGTGAAATGATTTAATCTGTATCGCACGGTGAGTCAGCGGCACAGCCAGGCCTAGAAGCCAGGGAATCTTGCTTCCCTGACCCCCTGCTGCCTCCCACATGTAGCATTGACTGGACAACCTGCAAGGCATGGAGGGTGGCCAGCAACCCTAAAAAGAGTGCTTTGCTGCCACACCAAAATACAACCTTTCTGCCACTTCCTGCCCTGTAGCTGTTTATTACTGAAAGATGGTGATAGGATGTCTCACATCTATAGCACCTCCTAGGTCCTGTGCTAGCGAATATTTTAAACACTGATCTGGAAGAAAAATATAAAGTCATCACTGACAACATTTGGCAGGTGACAAAAATTGGCACTGTGGTAAATAATGGCAAGGACTGGTCACCCGTACAAAGCGATCTGGATTGCTTGAAAGCTGGGTGCCAGCAAGGAATATATATTTTAGTACAGGCAGTCCCTGGGTTACATGGATCCGACTTACATCGGATCCCTACTTACAAACGGGGTGAGGCAACCCCGCACTAGCTGCTTCCCCCCAGCAGACCAGGGAGACGCGAAGCTAGCGCCCCCCACAGCAGACCAGGGAAACGTGGAGCGGCTTTTCTCAGCAGACACCTCAGCTTGAGAATAAAGGACTGAGGGAAGTGAGGTGTGGGAGAATAAAACTGAGCTCCGGAGAAATGTTTGGCTAGAGTTTCCCCTACAATATGTACCAGTTCCGACTTACATACAAATTCAACTTAAGAACAAACCTACAGTCCCTATCTTGTACGTAACCTGGGGACTGCCTGTACAGCTAAATTTAAATGTATAGCTCTAGGCCCAAAGAATGCCACCCATAATTACAAGTTGGGAGACTCTTGTCTCGGAAATAGGGCTCTGGAAAAGATACGTGGGTCATGGTGGCTAATCAGCTGAACATGAACTCCTAGGGATGCTGTGTGCAAAAGGGCTAATGAGTTCATAAACAGAGGAGTCTCGAGAAGTAGAGAACATTTTATTTTACCACCGGCCACATGGTTGGTCAGGCAGTTAGTAACCACTGCTAAAGTGAGCATATGTTCCAATATTCCCCTGATAGTTCCAGGTTTCCTCATGTTCCAGGAATATTTTTGGGACACCTGAATTGTCCTAATTTCTCTTTTTATCAAAATGTTAGCTCAAGAGGAGCGGCTGTGTGTGTTTACCAGAGACATTGAGCCCAATGGAATGAGCATGTAGTATGTAATAGCATTTAGAGTGAACAGAGGTCAAATGAGGGTTGACACTAGCAAACTGCTCTCTTGCTTAAAATGAATAGAAATGATGCTTATAGTCTAAGTAATTCTATCATGCACTGCTGAACAATTACCAGAAAATGGCCTCCAAATCCAGAAATGGTTTTGTCCGGTCAGATGTTCTTAGTAGCAATACTAGCACACTTTTTTTTTGTTAAAGGTACTTTTGTGGTGACACACGTAGGGTCTGTCAAAAATATGGCAGTATACAAATGCACTGCACAAACATGAAACTTGTCTAACAGTGTTTAACCACCCCTACCAAAGGTGTAGGCTAGCACATGATTATCTTCCCATGAAAGGTCCAGAATGCAAGTTCTTTGCAGTGTGAACATCTAACCATGTGTCACTGGGTTGGCCGGTCTCTTCCCCTCAGGGACTGCCACCTTAGGACAGCTCTGGACCTTAAGCAGCTGGTACCTGGATAGGCTCCTATCTTTTTCTGCCTTCCCCACAATCTGTCATTTTCAAGTATTCTGAACTTTGTTTCCTTGGTCCTGTGGGAGAGCTAAAATGACTGAAGAACTGCATATGTCACTTTACAATTCTGCTGTACAGCCAGTTTATCCTTCCAATGACTTTCCCCTTTCTCATTCTCAGGCATTGCCAGTGTGGTGGTATCGTTTTTCCTCTCCATGTACTATAATGTTATAAATGCCTGGGCATTCTGGTACCTCTTCCATTCATTCCAGGTGGGTAGAAGCATTGATGATCCCCATTGCTAGACAGTGACCTAACTTCCTCCAGGGTGGGCTGGGCCAAAGTGCTTGAGAATTCTGAAAACAAGCCTAGTTTGCCTGGAGAAAATATGAACCATTTACAGGCAGGGGAATCTGCAATGTGGAGCAGCTGTATGAAAACTTACATTCTCCAGAGGCTGTGGGGCCAGCCACAGGAAGCCCAGCACAGTGAGCTGATAATCAGCTCTACAACCTGACCACTGAATGGTCCTTTTTAGAAAGGTGTTTATTTGAGTTACTTACGGTCATAGTTAGGCCATACAGTTCTGCTCTGCCATGTTCAGAAGCCTTGTCTGGTCTGGTTAGAGCTGGTTGGCAGCGAACACGTGAAAAGGGAACTACGTCTCTGAAGGAGGATATTCTTTCACATCTTTGTGAGACCTTTGCTCATCTTTAGACTACAACAAAAGGTAAATAAAAGCTTTCTGCAATAAGCTGGGTAGCTTCTCCTAGCAACACAGAAGGTGTGTTTCTGATAAGCAGTCAATCAGGTTTTATAATGTATCGTCTCTGTAGGGGCTTAATAAATTTTTATTGCACACTAGCACTTGAATTTGCATAGCGAGGTAATGATCAAGCTGAGTAGTCCTTTCCTTGTGGCCCTGGCCCTGAGGTATTATGCACTTACAAATGCATAGGACCTCTCCACAGACACCTGTGACATAATGTCTTTTACAATGTTTCAGAAGTGCTCAGTAGTTCCATATGAAAAGGGTAACATAGACTCTGCCCTTGGAGTATGAGTGTGTCTGATGAATGCTGGTTTATTTCTGCAAAAACCACAAGGAACTTTAAAGACATATATTGGAGCATTAGGGCATAAGCTTTCTACAGGACTTAACATCAAACAACATTAGCATTCACGAGAATTTCCACAAATTCCCCCAGCCCTTACTCCTATGTCTATGTCTACCAGTACATCACTGGTATGAACTGAAGAGGAGATGATGAAAATGCAAGAACAACATTACTGCATGTATGCCAGCTTCCTGCTATTAGATATAAATATGCCAGCAGGTTACTCATGGGGTCTGTCCCAGCATCCCCACACATCTATGGGACAACACATCTGGCTTCCTCGCACTGACACTTTGCATGATACCTTTTCTCCTGCCCCAAGCCTCACCAAGACACAAAGCTCTGAAGAGCTCTGCAACATGCTTAACTCTTGCATTTGTTTGGCCCCAAAGGATCCCTTGCCATGGGCGAGTTGTCCTCTGAACAGTAACCACACTGGGTATGACGAAGAATGTGAGAAGACCTCATCCACTCAGTACTTCTGGTACAGGAAAACTCTGAACATTTCACCATCCATTGAGGAGAATGGGAACATTCAGTGGGAGCAAGCGGTGTGCCTGATCCTGGCTTGGCTGTTGGTCTATCTGTGTATTCTGAGAGGAACAGAGTCTACTGGCAAGGTAAGAGGATTATAATAGTTGATTCAGAGTTAAACCATAATTAGAGCTTGCAGAAACCAGCTTTAAGTGAAGTTAACAGGAAAAAATAAATAACCCTTAAGGAGCTTTTTAAATGTGGCTGGTTTTAATTTCCTCTTCACCAGGAAAACACTATTTAACCATTGCTTGAGTGTGCCTGCAGGACCATATATTGCGGTGTGGTGACAGGGCCATATACTGCATGCACATTGGCATATGAGCTGCCATTTAAAGGCTGATGGCTGCATCCAATAGCTTGTTCATTGGGAGAGCATTTGCATAACCTCATTTTCTATCCCTAAGTTGTGTAATGAATCAGTGTGTTCTCAATATTCCCACACTACAGTCACCAACTATGCTGCCTACATAGATGGCTTGGGGATATGTCTCCAAAACACAGAACAACACCGCTTTTGTTTAAAAGAGGATCTCTGCTAGCTACAGTAGCTTTTAGGCATATAGTCTCTGAGAGCCAGTCGCTGGACAGCAGGTAGCATATTTGTACAAGTGTCATAGAACATCACAGCTCATCCTGGAGAGGGCAGAGAACACACATTAGCCATTTTACTGTATACTACCCTCATCCAGTGTCTTCTAGACAAAGCTCCTGAATTCTGTCCCTCTTTACAACTTTGTGGTCCTGGGCATGTGCCATAGTCAAGGACTGCGAGGTCTGTTTCTCATGGAATCACAGGCAAATCAGACAGTGTAAATGAAATAAACAGTGTCAGAGTGCAGGTTAGTGTTCTGCTCTGAGACATAAGCATCAATGTGACACTGACACTGTGCGGCAATCGCTTGTGGCGCCGTTATTGAAAAGGAGCCTTTTGACTGGTTTAGAGGAAGAACTTATGTCTGACTCAAAGAAAAAGCAGTGACTTCTCTGAATGAGAGGAACTTACAGATAGGAACATTTGTAAACAGTCAAAGGCACAGGTGCCCTTATCGACTAATCAAAGTTGATGCAAATTGCATCGACTATTCGATTAGCCAAGTAATCAAAATTTTACATCCCTAGGGTGTACCGCTGCTGAGTGGAATCAATTAGGGCCTGATCCTGAGACACTGAAGACATGGGAGTTTTGCCATTGACTTAAAGGGAAATAGAATTGAACCTGCAAACAAGAGCTGATGCTGACAGATGTGAAGCATCTACAATAAGGAAAAATGCAAAGTACTCCACGTAGAAGGGAACAACCAGCTGTACACATACAAAATGGCAAATGACTACCTAGGAATGAGTACCGTAGAAAGGGATCTAGGGGTCATAATGGACCACAAGCTAAATATGAGTCCACAGTGTGACACTGTTACAAAAAAAAAGCAAATATCATTCTGATTTATTAACAAGAGTGTCATAAGCAAGATATGAGAAGTGATTCTTCCACTCTATTCTGTGCTAATTAGGCCTCAACTGGAGTATTGTCTGGGCATCACATTCAAAGAAAAATGTTGACAAACTGGAAAAAGTCCAGAGAAAAGCAACAAAAATGATTAAAGGTCTAGAAAACATGATCTGTAAGGGAAGGTTGAAAGAACTGGTTTGTTTAGTCTGGAAAAGGAAAGAAGGAGAGAGGACAGGATAACAGCTTTTAAGTACCTAAAAGGGGGTAACAAGGAACAGGGAGAAAAATTATTCTCCTTAACCTCTGACGATAGGACAAGAAGCAATGGGCTTAAGTTGCAGCAAAGGACATTTAGATCAGACATTAGGAAAACTTCTCTGCTGTCAGGGTGGTTAAGCAGTGGAATAAGTTGCCTAGGAAGGTTGTAGAATCTTCATTTGGAGATTTTTTTTTAAGAGCAGGTTAGACAGACACCTGTCAGGGACTAGCTAGATGGTGTTTGGTCCTGCCATGAGTGCAGGGGACTGGACTTGACCTCTTGAGATTCCTTCCAGTTCTATGAATTCTTGTTGAAGCCAATGGGAATGGAGGTTACTCAACCTCTGTTGGGCTCAGGTTCTACATCGGGTATTGGGAGTTACACTGATTTTGGGAAACCACAGACTTCTGAGGGCCAAGTTGTGGAGCCTGACTATCCATGTTGGTGAGCACTTACTTGAGTAGCCCCATTGACTGGAAAAGGACTACTTATGTGATAGTGTTTAACAACAAAGACCTGTGTCCGGACTGAATTGTCTGTGCAGATATCAACATTTCAAACAGCCCAGTAGCTCTGTGGCAGAGCAAAGAAAGCTCCATGTGCATCACTGTTATTTATTGTAAGTCGTATTAGACTAGCTCCTGGTGGCCCCAAGCAAGAGTGGGGTTTCATCATGCCAGCTACAATAGAAACACATAGGGAGAGCATCAGAGAACTCTTTCAGGAATGTTCAGCCTGTGAAAATTTACTCAAATTGTTGGATTGGAAACTCCAGGAGGCTGTTTTCTGTTTCATAATCACTGAACTGATCTTAATTTTAGTGCAATTAAACTTACCTGGGGATAATATGATGAAAATGCCTCAATTCCATGTTTATCAGGGTTTACGTATCAATTTTTGGAATAACCATAAAATATATGCGATGGGGAAGTCATTGCATTGTCCCTTTTTCGTGTTTGTATTTCATAAAAGGTAATATAAGGTTCAAAATCACAGGTCTGATCCAAAGTTCATTGACTGAGTTATCAGATCACAACCATTTCCTGGCCTAGATAATAATATAAAATGTTATTTGCAAATCTTAAAATAAGTTTAAAATTTGAATTTGCTTTTTTTTTTTTACCATTAATGTTGTTCATTTACTTTTTGGATTTTTCTTAGAATGTACAATGGAAATTGACTAATTAGTTTCACTGCTTATAATCAGCTGCCAGTCAATTTTATTCTAGCAAAATGCAGTAAAATTTGGATTGCAATCACTGTGGAGGAATGTTTATTAATTCCTCTTATTACAATACAGCATTTCCTTTGTAAGTTTAAAAAAGAAAATAATGGTTATATTACCATTAGACTTAAATTTGTTTTTGGTAAAATCTAAATGTTGGGCCAAATTTGACCTGAAAGTATTCATTTAAGGATCAGTACAGGGTAGCAAACATATTATGACTATTTCAGAGAGGGCAAACAAACATATAGAATTTACCATACCAGATTAGTACAATTGTCAAGATATAGACTGCTACACTGCCTGCAAAGGGAAATATACATGCCTGCAGTGTGTATCTAACCATGCAATTCTATTCCCAGAAAGAAATTTTTCTCCCATGTCCTCTCATTCCCTCCTTCCCTCTGGCTAATCATTATAAACTCTGAAATAGGAAGATTGATAATCCTACAGAATTCACAGCTATGAAAAATGTATCACTTGAAATCTGTCATGGGGAATACCAGAGTTTCTCAAATTGGGGGTGCTGATCCAAGAGGGAGTTGCTGGGGTGTCACAAGGTTATTTTAGAGGAGTTACAATATTGCCACTCTTATTTGTATGCTGCCTGCAGAGCTGGGTGGCTGGAGATATACTAGATGCCTAGGTATATGCTAGATGCCTAGTTCTGAAGATACTGTCCCATCGCCAGCCATGCAGAAGCAAGGCTATATCACACACAACAACCTTGCAAACATACACACCTTCCTTTTTGGGCCAGGATTCCTATAATTACAGTGCTGTGAAGTCTCAGATTTTAATATCTAAAATAACAAAATTTATGTTTTTTTAAATCTTATGTCCGTGAAATTGACCAAAATGGACTGTGAATTTCGTAGGGTCCCACTGATAACCTTTTGCAATTTTACCTTGATAATGTAACCATAGACGTATTTGTCTCTCTATTTCTTCCTATACCAGTACAGTTCTTGCAAAACAGTAACAGATGCCGGTGTAGATTAACTCTTCAATTAACTGACATATGACAGAACGAGAAGCAATGGTCTCATTGGTGGAGGTGTAAGTTGGATATTAGGAAAAACTATTTCACTAGGAGGGTGGTTGTAGCACTGGAATGGCTTATGTAGGGAGGTGATAGAATCTCCATCCCTTGAGGTTAAGTCCTGGCTGGGGTGTTTTAGTCAGGATTGGCCCGGCTTATAGCAGGGGATTGGACTTGATAACCTCCTGAGGTCTCTTCAAGCCCTAGGATTTGCTTCTAATTTACGTTTTCTTTTTGCAGGTTGTCTACGTTACAGCTTCTTTGCCATACTTTGTCCTTATCATATACTTAATTAGAGGACTAACGCTACATGGAGCTGTGAATGGGCTCATTTACATGTTTAGACCAAAGGTACTGGAAATATACACTGATTTTTAACTGACCTCAATCATTATAACTGCATAATTTCATACAAAATGGTAACTTACTAGATTTATTTACATTATATTTTCACAAGAGTAAGCTAGGCCTGATATTGTATGTATCCAGAGTCTTGAGGTACACCACTATATCATCGAAGAATTATTAACTTCTTCCCCCCGGGAAAATGTGTCTTATCAAACCTAAGCTGTGTTCTATTATTTATATACTGAATAACAATATCAGACCAATTAATCCCTAAATACAACAGAGTTACACCACAGATGATTATGGCCTAAGATACATTTCAAGCTCATTAGACATTTCTCTGTGAGAGTAGATGCGTGCTGTTCCATTTACTTCAGTGAAATTTTGTTCATCTACATCAGCAGAGAATTTATCGCAGCATATAACTAAATCATGTTATTCACACACTGAAGAAACCCACAAACAGCTCAATTCTGTCTTGCTTCTGTGCATAAAACTCACACTGACTTCAGTAGGTACTGTGTGAAAATAGGGTTTCGAGCCAAATCAGGTCCTTAATAAATCACATTCTCTCTCCTTGATGTCTAGATACTATAACGATGAGAGCATTAGACATACCGTAGGTGAGCAGTCTGAAGGCCACTTTTGTTCTCATCAGCTGTTTCTCACTCTCTTTTTTTTCAGATTGAGCAATTAGCAAATCCAAAAACCTGGATTAATGCAGCTACCCAGATCTTTTTCTCACTTGGTCTTGGTTTCGGAAGCCTGATAGCATTTGCCAGCTACAACGAGCCAAACAACAATTGTGAGAGACATGCCATTATCATCTCTTTGATAAACAGCAGCACATCAATATTTGCCAGTATTGTGACTTTCTCTATTTATGGCTTTAAGGCAACTTTCAACTATGAAAACTGTATAAGCAAGTAAGAGACTGGAGTTTTCACTTATTTTCCCCCTAGACATGACATAGGATGTTACATAGAAGATATAAACAGATAGCAGCTATACAACACAGCTCCTTGAGTGCCAGGGAATACATCTGAATAGATCTGATAAATATGCAGGAGATTCATTAGATAAGACCAGAGAATAGAGTTCAGAGTTCTTTTTATGACTGGTACTGATTAACAGACTTCAGAATACTATCATCCACACATTTTGAAGGTCCCATTGCTGACAAATGAGTTGAAAGACCTATCTATATTGCAGTTATGAACAGGAGGGTGGAGCAGGTTACAAAACATTGTTCCCTGAACTAGTTACCAACATGCTTTACAATTGCCCTGGAGAGGGCATCCACCTAGGCTGTGTCCAGACTCAAGGGGTTTTTCGAAAAAAGTAGCCTTTTTTCGAAAAAACTTCACCTGCGTCTAGACTACAGCCGCGTTCTTTCGAAATTAAATCAAAAGAACGCGGCTTTTCTTTCGACGGTGGTAAACCTAATTTCACGAGGAAGAACGCCTTTTTTCGAAAGTGCTCTTTCGAAAAAAGGCATTCTTGAATGCAAACAGGGTGTTTTCGAAAGAGAGCATCCAGACTGCCTGGCTGCTTTCTTTTGAAAAAGCGGCTTGCTTTTTCGAAAGTACTGGTTGCAGTCTAGACGCTCTTTTTCGAAAGAGGCTTTTTCGAAAGATACTTTTGAAAAAGCCTCTTTCGAAAGAGGCTTGCAGTCTAGACATAGCCCTAGTGTCCTTCATGAGGTTAAAGCCTTGGAAGTCCAAGGACTTAGGCGTAGGACAGAGTTAGCCCCTGTCTACACTGCAGCTGTGTAGCTATGTTGTGCCCAGGCCCCTGACTTAGTTACCAGAGGTAGAAGGCTCTGTAGGCCATCTTCACTGTCATTGTGTGAGGGATGTATGAAGCCAACTGCACAAGACAGGTGGTAGTTGGATTCCTACTGTTGGGCTACGTCTACACTGGCCCCCTTTTCCGGAAATGCTTAAAACGGAACAGTTTTCCGTTATAAGTATTTCCAGAAAAAGCGTGAAAAGCGTCCGTGCCAATGTAGACGCGCTTTTCCGCAAAAAAGCCCCGATCGTCATTTTCACGATCGGGGCTTTTTTTGCGGAAAACACAACTGTGCAGTCTACTCTGGCCCTTTTCCGGAACAGTTTTCCAGAAAAGGACTTTTACCCGAACGGGAGCAGCATAGGTTTTCCGGAAAAGCACGGATGATTTTACAGGAGATCGTCAGTGCTTTTCGGGAAATTCAAGGGGCCCGTGTAGACGGCTGGCAAGTTATTCCGGAAAAGTGGCTGCTTTTCTGGAGTAAGTGGCCCAGTGTAGACACAGCCTTGGTGTTCAGCATTGCAGCCCTATTTTATGTAACTGCAGGAAAGCATGGTACCAGGAGAGGAGTGGATGGCAGAAACTTTTTAGAAAGCCTACAAGCTTCTTTGCTGCTGCTGCTTCTGTTAAACCACACTCATGACTGGAGAAAAGTCTGACACACACCCCCAGAGAGGGTTTAAGGCCAGAAGGGACCGGTAGAACATCTAGTCTGAGCTCCTGGAGAACACAGGCCACCCACTCCCCATAGCACGCTGACCCAACAACTGAAATGAGATCAAAGTATGACAATCCACAGGAAACAACATTATTATGAGCCACAGGCAAAGAACAAGAGGGACTGAGGTGCACTAGTGTCTGAGACCCAGATAATGCCAATGAGTGACCCACACAGCACTATGCAGAGTGACCCACACAGCACTATACCAAACAAAATCAATCAGGCAGTCCAATTCGATCTAGGAGAAAATTCCTTCCTGACCCCAGATATGGCAATCACATAGGCCCTGAGCACACAGGCCAGAGGCAGCCAAGCATCTCAGAGAGAGAGAATTCTCAGTGCCACCTCAAAGCTTGGCTCTCCCTGCCCAGGGTCCTGCCTCCAGCTTCAGCTCCCTCCTGATGCTTCAGAGGATGGCGATTAAAAAAAAAATGTTTCAGAGATGCACTTACCAGCCTTTTTCTCTCCATCAAAAAAGATAACAGGTGTTCTCAATGAAAGGCCTACGTCTGAGACATGGAAATCATTTGGGGCAGCCACATTTTTATTCAAAGGCACCCTACGGCTTATCCCCCCACCCCCCATTATAAAAGTAAGAGAAGGGAAAGCCTGACAGCCTCCCTCTGACACAAAGGCACAGCACTGCTGTCACTGGCCAGTGGCAGCTCCAGGGTGCATCATCCCAGCGGTACATAAGAAAAAGAATGATCCAAACAGATTATGAAGAGAGTACACAAAGAATTTTGGAAAACTCATCTACACTGAGAACCAAATTCTGCAGCCAGACTTTTTGCAGGCACAATTTCCAACCTCAAAAAGGATGTCCATGCAGTAAGTTTGGCCCGCCTTTCAATTGTGGGTACAAATCTGAGTACCCGATTGCAGGCTCAGTCTTAGTAGATAAGAGGAACAGGTGCTTTTATCTGTACACACTGGGCATTTTCTGAACACAAAAAATGAACGCAGTGTACATTAGGGATGTGAAGGACTAGTCAACTATCCGATAAGCAAATGCTTATCAGATAGTTGACAAGCTTGTCAACTAGTCATTCCCCCATCCTCCCTTTGCTGCCTCTGTCAGAAAGAGGCAGGAAGGGGGGCTGAAGGAAGAAGTACTTCAAAGCAGCAGCACCGCATAGAGCCAGGGCCAGACCCCAGGCTCCACATGGCGCTGCCGCTTTGAAACGCTGCCATGGGAGCCTGGTTCAGGTTCTTCCTGGTGCTTGTCCCTGGGCTCCTGTGGCAGCATTTCAAAGCAGCAGCGCCACACAGAGCCCGGGATTAGCGAGGAGTCCTCAGCTGATCCCAGGCTCCACGCAGTGCTGCAGCTTTGAAATGCCAGGAGGAGCCTAAGGCCAGGCCCCCAAAGCAGCCCAGGGGGCCCACACGGAGCCCAGGGTCAGCAGGGAGTCCGCACATAACCCCGGGGCTCCACGTGGCACTTTCACCCTTAAAGTGTAGCAACGGTCCTAGGGCTGTTTCTACACTTCAAAGGCAGAGATGCCCTATTGATTAGTCAATTGCCTGCAATGAATCAACTATTTGATTACTCAGTTACCTGCAATTTAACATCCCTAGTGTACATCCTCACAGATTTTTAGAACCAGGATTTATAGATGCATGCTGTACTTGGCCAGCCTGAAAACACAGACCTTCATTTTCACCTAAATCCTGAGAGGACTAAGGATCTATTTCTTCAGAATTATCTGCTCTTCCATATGCATTCAGTTCTCTGCTTCTTCTGGACATGTGTAAATATCTTAGCTGAACATGCCACCTTCAGTCTGGTGGGAGAAAATGCTGGTGAAAAGGCTGAACAAGCAGAAATCCTTTTCTTTTTCTTTTCTTTCTTTTTTTTTTTCCTCATGGCAATCATTTGCAGGTAGATTGACACACAATGGTAGCTCTGTGTGGAAAGGAGATAAATTTGGGTCTCACGAGTGTGTTAAGCCTTCGGGTGGCAGAACTGCTGACATAGCTTACAGCAATGGAGAGCATGAACTATGTTGTGCATGTGATGTCAGAACTGTATCACAGAATCCTTTAAAAAATGCAACCCGAAGGCTACGTCTACACTGGCAGCTTCTTGCGCGAGAACAGCCGTTCTTGTGCAAAAACTTGCTGGCTGTCTACACTGCACGTGCGTTCTTGCGTAAGTAAATTTACAGTCTAGCATTGTAATACAGGGCTTCTTCTGGAAGGCTGTGTCTAGACTGGCAAATTTTTCCGGAAAATCAGCCGCTTTTCCGGAAAAACTTGCCAGCTGTCTACACTGGCCGCTTGAATTTCCGGTAAAGCACTGACGATCTCATGTAAAATCATCAGTGATTTTCCGGAAATACTATGCTGCTCCCATTCAGGCAAAAGTCTTTTTCCAAAAGACTTTTACGCAAAAGGGCCAGTGTAGACAGCACAGTAGTGTTTTCCGCAAAAAAGCCCTGATCGCGAAAATGGCGATAGGGGCTTTTTTGCGGAAACGCGCGTCTAGATTGGCCATGGATGCTTTTCCGCAAAAAGTGCTTTTCCGGACAAGCGCCCTGCCAATCTAGACGTGCTTTTCCGAAAATGCTTTTAACGGAATACTTTTCCGTTAAAAGCATTTCCGGAAAATCATGCCAGTGTAGACGTAGCCGAAGAGTTATTCCTCTCCCCATGAGGAATAAGCCCTCTTGTGCAAGAGCTCTTCCACAAGAGGGCAGTGTAGACAGGCAACATGAATTTCTTGTGCACGAAGCCCCTATGGTTAAATGGGAGGGAGCTGGGAGGAATAAAATAAGAAATAACTAATTTTCATAGATGCATAGATTTTTAAGGCCAGAAGGACCCACTGCAATCACCTGATCTGTTTAACATAGGACATAGAATTTTAATCAGTGATTCCTGCATTGTGCCAATAACTTCTGGTTCAGACAAAGCATAGCTTTTGTCCCAATTTTCCTTTTTCACCATTCACAAGTGTGCTTGCATATCTGGGCTCTTTTCAACACACTTTACTGAAGAATAGCAAGAGCAATGTCTCTAGTCTGTGGCATTCCGGAATGACTTAATAGAAACTCCATCCAAATTCTGCCACTGGCTGTCACTGAAAATTCTTCAAGCGTTAGTAAAAAGAAACTAAATTCTCTTGACTTTACAGAGCAATACTGCTGTTGACAAACTATTTTGACCTGGAAGAAGGAGCTTTGACTGCAGACAATCTTGACAGTATGAAAGATTACCTAACATCTACTTACCCAAACGAGTATGCAGCATTATTGCCACAGATTAAAAACTGCAGTTTGGAAGCTGAACTAGACACGGTAACTTGTTCTTTTGGGCAACAGCCTTGATTGTCTTTTTTCTGTTTCCTTTTCCCTCAAGTCAGACCTGATCAGTACAACCTTCCAGTTCTAAGGGTGAGAGAGAACACAAACACTATTCGCTCTTGTACTGATGAGGCAGTCTTTAATATTACACTGTTACACTTCGCTTAGGCAAAGTGAGCCAACCCCTTCCTTGCTCCTGATATGAGGCTACATAGCAGCCTCAAGGGAGTGTAAGATTTAGATAAAGATGCTTCTGCTGAGTAACTAGATGGAATATTTATAGTCAAGCCACTGACAGGGGACAAGAGGGGCAGTTGCTCAGGGCCTGGCGATTCAAAGTGGGCTTGGGTTCCCAGCTACTACCAGAGCAGCAGCAACATCCAGCGGACCACAGGACCCTTTAAATCGCAACTGGCAGAATTTAGAGTTTTAATTTAGGGTGCATCTACACAGCACCCTAAACTCCAAATAAGATATGCAAATTGCATAGCACAAAATGCGTATCTTATTTCAAATCTATTTCAAAATAGCATATTTTGAAATTTGGCACGTCTACATAGTGCCAAATTTTGAAATAACGTGCTATTTTGAGCCATCCCTTATCCTTCATGCAACGAGGTTTACTGGGATGGCAAAATAGCATGCCCATTATTTTGAATAACAGCAGCTTGTGTAGACACTGGGTAGCCGTGCACTGTAGATGTACCCTTACTCTTTAAAATGTTAGAAGTGGAGCTTTGGTAAGAGGCAAGAGATGTATTTTTAGGGACCGGCTATTTTTTCTAATGGGATTAGACAAATAAGCATGGGTCAGCAACCTCAATAGCTGACGCTACCCCTCTTGGTTAGATTCTGCTCTCTTCTTCTCATTGGCAGGCTGTCCAAGGCACTGGACTGGCATTTATAGTGTATTCGGAAGCAATAAAAAACATGGAAGTCTCTCAGCTGTATTCAGTGCTGTACTTTATTATGCTGCTGATGTTGGGCATAGGCAGTATGCTGGGAAACACTGCAGCTATCCTCACTCCTTTGACAGACAGCAAATTTATTTCCACCCATTTATCAAAAGAGATGATCTCAGGTAAGTTGACTACCACATAATAAAACATATCAACAGGGGTATGAAATCAGGCTGAACACACACACAAGGGATTTGGAAGCCCCAGTATGCCAGGTTCTGAGAGCCCTTTCCTCCTGTGACTTCAAGGGAAGTGATAGGTACACAGCCCCTTGCAGGTGCAGACCCTATGGGGAGTTGACTCATTACAGTGGGAGTTCTGGCTGAGTTCTAACCCCTGCAGTCTGGCCACTGCATGAGGCATGTGATGGGAGGCCTAGATTCCAGCCTCCAAAATGCAGTTATCCCACAGTCTACAGGCTGTGTATCATTTTCATTCCTCAAAATAGTATTTTAAGAAGTCAAAACATGGTGGCTGTGTCTACACTGGCATGAATTTCCGGAACTGCTTAAAACGGAATACTATTCTATTTTCAGTTTTTCCAGAAAAGGAGCATCTACATTGGCAGGCTGCTTTTCCGGAAAAGCCCTTTTCCGGAAAAGCGTCTGTGGCCAATGTAGACGCGCTTTTCCCCATTTTCGCGATCGGGGCTTTTTTGCGGAAAAGACTACTGGGCTGTCTACACTGGCCCTTTTCCGGAACAGTGTTCCGGAATAAGGACTTATGCCCGAGTGGGAGCAGAATAGTTTTTCCGGAATAGCGGCTGATTTTGTACAGTACAGCGTCGTTGCTTATCCGGAAATTCAAGGGCCAGTGTAGACAGCTCGCAGCTTATTCCGGAAAAGCGGCTGATTTTCCAGAATAAGTGGCCCAGTGTAGACACAGCCGGTATGAATAAGGAAAAACAACAGTGTTACAAGTCGACAGGGAGTATTTTTTGAAAATCTCCGCAAAAGCACATAGAACCTACTTGACCATAAACAAGCAGTGGTGGCAATTCTCTGGCACAATCACCTGCCTCTGTTTATGTGTGTTCTGAGATATGAGTGATAGGTGAGCATCAAAAGATTTCCATCCCCACATTTGAGTTGCTGCTTCATGCGACACTTTCCTATATAAATTAACAGAACGGCATTGAAAAGGCACAGAGTTACAATTACCATCTTGGTTGCAGAAAGATGAATTTAACAAAATTCCTTTTTCCTGTTTCCCAAGTTAAATATAAGTTTATAGGCCATAGCTTAGTATTTGTGCATTCAGGAACAAATGTGAGGTTACTTTGTATTTGCATACCACCTTCTTGTGAAGATCTCAAAGTACTTGACAAACATCAATCCTAGAATCGGAAGGGATGTCAGAAGGTCATCAAGTCCAGTCCTCAGCAGTCACAGCAAGACCAAGCATCATCAGGATCATCCCTGATGGGTGTTTGTCTAACCTGCCCTTTAATACCTCCAGTGCTTAACCACTTTGAGGCTGTCTACACTCATGGCTTTTTGTGCGAGTAATATACAAATGAGACTAAACATTGAATATTGCTGAGCCTCATTTGCATACCTAATGAACCACCATTTTTTTCAGAAGAGGCTCTTGCGCAAATCGGAGTGTCTACACTGCCCCTTCGTGCGCAAGAAAAACCCTCTTGCACAATGCTGTTACACCTATTACTTTTCAGGAAGAACGGCATTGCGCAAGTGGGTTTTTCTTGTGCAAGAAGGGGCAGTGTAGACGCTCCTTCTTGCGCAAAATCTTCTTCTGAAAAAAATGGTGGCTCATTAGGTATGCAAATGAGGCTCAGCAATATTCAATGTTTAGTCTCATTTGTATATTACTCGCACAAAAAGCCATGAGTGTAGACAGCCTCAAAGTGGTTAAGCACTGGAGGTATTAAAGGGCAGGTTAGACAAACACCCATCAGGGATGATCCTGATGATGCTTGGTCTTGCTGTGACTGCTGAGGACTGGACTTGATGACCTTCTGACATCCCTTCCGATTCTAGGATTGATGTTTGTCAAGTACTTTGAGATCTTCACAAGAAGGTGGTATGCAAATACAAAGTAACCTCACATTTGTTCCTGAATGCACAAATACTAAGCTATGGCCTATAAACTTATATTTAACTTGGGAAACAGGAAAAAGGAATTTTGTTAAATTCATCTTTCTGCAACCAAGATGGTAATTGTAACTCTGTGCCTTTTCAATGCCGTTCTGTTAATTTATATAGGAAAGTGTCGCATGAAGCAGCAACTCAAATGTGGGGGCAACCAACTGGCTTTAGTGCTTTATAATACAAGTTATATACACATAATTGCACCACAGACCTCACCCACATCAGCACCCTATCCTGGGCATTTATATGGCATCTAGACATTGCTAATTTTCTTGGGTCCCCTAACAAGATTACCAATTACCTTTACAAACAGGTCAAAAGCCAATGTCTTATTTAATGCAAAGCTTCCAACTCCTGTCCTACTAATATTTGCCTTTCCGTTGCACCTAAAACAACCTATTTTGTTTTATTCCTACAGGTATCGTGTGTTTCATAAACTGCATTGTTGGTCTGGTGTTCACCATGGAGGCTGGAAACTATTGGTTCGATATATTCAATGACTATGCAGCTACTCTCTCTCTGCTGCTCATTGTTCTGGTGGAGACGATAGCTGTGTGTTACGTCTATGGGCTAAAGAGGTAATAGATTAAAATCTCCCTTGCTCCTGTAACTGGGCCATCCTAAGGCTAGTTGCTGAATTGTGCAGGCAGAACACACTGTCCTGGCCTAAGTGCTTTCCCCAGTAACTCCAGGAGAAAAAAAAAATTAATCAGATTTTAGGACTGAACTTTCAGCCTAGATGTCCAAGAGGGGGTGACACAGAGCTGGCACCTCCCTGTTAAAATCCTTTTATTCCCTCACAAGCCTCTCCCTACAGATACTTGGGGACTTGGCAGAAGCCAGTACAACTGCACAACACCCATCACGCTGCCCAGGTCTCCACATAGTTGCAGGTGTTGTGGAGTCAATATAACTAACCCTAACCAGGAACAAATCCAACCCCTGCACAGAAGCACCAACACCACAGAAGCCATGAAGGGGAGCCTCTAATGTTCCCACTCAGCCACCCAGATTTTTCCCACCTCTGGGACAACTGGCCCAAAGCCCCAGGTTTAAGAAACACTGAGGCTGCACCTATTTTCTGATAAAGGCCCTTGTATTCGCCCTTCCTTACTACCTCACCCCATTCTTCTAATGGCTCATAAATTTTGGACACTGTGCTATCTGGCAGGTGTTTCGTGCAAGGTGGTGTTTCTCTGTAGCATCTCACCACTACCACACACACACGCATTGGTTGAGAGTACTGGGTGTGAACTATTTAAGGGTCTTGCAACTACAGCCTCTTCCCATGCAGTCCCACTCAAGTCAATGTCACCATCACAGCAAAGAAAAATGCGGTGGGGTCACCATGGCAAGTGTGTACACACTAACATACCTAATATGTAAATATGTTTATACTTGTTACCTGACCAGTTAATTCAAAGGTTTTGAATCAAATTCTGTCATGAAAAATATATAAACATACATCTAATGCATATATAGCTTTTCCCTAGCTCTCTCTTTAACCCTGTCCCAGTCTTTTTCACCTAACTTTTGCTCAGTAGAAAGTAAGCATCTTTTGACTAGCAGATGTTCCTGGCAAGCCAAATTCCCTGCAGTTGGTCTCTTGCAACTCACAGCTTGCCCAGACTACACTTTTTCCTACTCAGCATTTTTC